CTCTCACCCTCACAATTAGAGACAGGCAATGTTAAAAACAGTCTTAGTGCAACATAAACATTGGGAAATGTTGTCTTAAGTCCATTTCTCTCAAGAGCTTGCAGCAGCTGTGCAGGTGAAGTCTCACTCTGCACAAAATACTTGAACTGAATAAGTTCGTCTGCCAGGGAGCTGTCCAGGTCTGTCGCATAAGTGGAGCTCAGCTTAGCAGCTCTGTCACGCACATCACAGTCATCACAGTCCCTCTCAAATAAAACTCCAAAAAGATCACACACATCTGTGTATGCTTCGATCCGCCTGGATAGGCACGAACTGAGCCTGTCAATAATGACAGTATGTTTCAACCTCAAATCTCTGACTACTATCAGTAAAAGCCACCTCCCTGTCATCAGACTCGTCTGCAAATCGCTTTCTTTTTCTCACACGTCGAGTGTCAAACTGGTAGTTTTGTGTAGCACTGACAGAGCGTGCTGATTGTTCGAGCTCTGCAAACTGGTCTTGCAGAGTGCTTACATATGAGTGCAGTGAGCGCAAAAGATGAACAGCAGTAGCTAAATCCATGTCGCTTTTTTGTAGTTGATCACTTGTTGCTTTAAACCTCTGCAGTACCCAGTCCCACAACATACTCATTATTACTGTCTCCAGTTTATCAAGTTTACCGACCAGTGCAGCAGCTTCGCATTTTGTTTGTATTTTCTCGTCACAGTCTGAGGCTATTTTCGCTAACGTATCTCTAATTGCCCCGTAATTTTCATTGAGAGCTTTTGTGGACTCTGCTCTGCAACTCCATCGAGTGGTGCTGAGAGATTTTAGAGTGTGGCTGATGTGATGTTCGCTGTTTTGGAAAACGGTACGCCAGCGATGCGTTGAGGCACTGCTTGAAAGTATGAAGAGAACTGAGAACTTTTTTGAACTGCTGCAGTAGCAGTTCAAAAAAAGAGTTGACCTCCTCACAGCAGTTATCAATGCTATTAACACCTACGACAGTGGTTCTCAACCTTTTTTGAACAAATGCCCCCCTGACCTTTCCATGATCCTCGTACTCCTCCCCCCCTTACAAAAACACCCCCCAAAAACTACAGGGTGCTGGTGCCTAAGAATTCTTGTAGTAAACAGTGTGTTAAGACTGATGAGAGAAGCCATTGCTTTGCTTTAAAATCCCTGTTTTTATTGGATTGGAGCTGTATTTATGCCCCCAACAACTTGATGTGCTGCTGAGCAAATCTGATCATTTTACAGGAAATGAAAGCATTGATTTTAAACATTGCCTCCAAAATGTATATTTGGGACATATAATAGGTCATGTTTGTACATTACTTAACTGGAGAAACTGGTAAACAACATGGAAATGTTATTTTAGTTGTAATGTGACCCTGAGCCCTTTTTCATTATTTTTAAAAACATATTGCATAAATAAAATACATTTTTAGACATGATTTTCAAACAAAATAAATGTTTATTTAATATTCTGACATTTGAATAGAAGTATATTTGAATATAAGTGCATTCCCAAAAGAACAAAGAAGTGCATAAAAGTGGACAAACCCACAACAAATTAATTATTTTCCTTTTGGCACAAGTTTACTTAGTCACAGTAGGCTAATAATGTAAACAGAAGGCTCAAGTAAAATACTGTAAGTGTGCTTGTAACCTCATACACTTATACAGGTACTTATACCATGGTCTGGGTGAATACTCGATTCTGATTGGCTGGAGGGTGTAGGTTAAAAAGTGGTAATGTACACCTAGGAAAGACGTTGATGCTATGAAGATGCTATGGCCACGTTGCTTGGCAACGCCTGCATACGGGAGATATTAAATAGTCCGCTCGACTTGTAAACATAAAAAAACCCTCACGATTTTAACTCTTTACTCTTTCGTAAGTGACCATGGTATAAGCGGCATAATGCCCTTCGAGGTGTCCATTAACAGAATGAATGGATGACGCAGAGGCGTGACCGACGCGAAGCGGAGGATGGTTGCTTCCGCGAAGTCCATTCATTTCGTCGGGCATTATCCCTTACTTATACTATACTTTATATTTCGGCTGCAAACCGCAATTCTTTTTTCGTTCTCCGTAACTTTGAAATATCTCCACACTGCCAACATCTTTGTTTATGTTTACCGCGTCACTGCACGTTATTTGATTGCGTCAGTAAAACGCCCTGCATCACTGCACATTGTTTGCTTGCGTCATTAAAAACGTGGCGCGTTATTATTATAATAATAATAATATATATTCAGGCCTGGTTTTTCACTCATTCCACCGAATACCGAATATGGCTTTTTTGCAATATTCGGCCGAATATATTCGGTTACCGAATATTCGGTGCATCCCTATTTGATTGTAATGTTGTGTGTGATTAAACATGGCTACATTATCGTGCTTGTGTACGTTTTCATTGGTTATTTAAGTTTTAGCCCGCGAAGATGAGGTGACAGCTGTCAAAAGTAGCATTTGCTTCCCGGGTTTCGCTGCTGCTGTGGTGGATTTGTTTGGGCGTTACTATGGAGACCGTTCCTGCTCGGCTTGTCCGATCGTGATCAGGGAGCAGAGGGGAGATCTCCAGGGGCGACATCGGGGTTTACTCCCTTTTACCCAGCAGTGGAAACAGCAGACTCGGGTTCTTGGTCTCAGACAGCAGCTTTATTTTTAGTTGGGAAACCATGAACGTTTAAAATGTAGAGTTCAAATGAACTTTGTACAAGCCAAATTGTGGCGCCCCCATTCGTGCCTGAGCGCCCCCATACCAGCCCTCACGCGTCCAGCGACCCCCAAAATGTTTATAACGCCCCCGTTGAGAAACCATGACCTATGAGGTTCAACGAATGGGCAGCACATGGTATATAATGAATTAGTGGGTTTTGTTTTTTTAAGTGCGCCTGGAGCCCACTGTGTTTGCCAGACATGTTCCTCGCATTATCGTAACTTTGGCCACGACAGTTTGACAACTCTAACCCCAAGCCTCGCACCATTTCAATCACAGATTCAGCCAGGCTTATACCTGTATGGCTGTGGATGGGCTCAAACCTGATAAACCTCTCTACTACTCTGCCATCTTCACTGACAAAGCGAAAAACAAACGTGAGCTGATCAACTTGTGTTGAATCAACAATTACAGAGAAATATTTCGCCTGTCTGATTTCCTCTGCTATCATTTGTTTAGTTTTCTCCCCCATTAATGAGATAAATTGTTCACACACAGTTGAGGACAAATAAGATGGCTTACCTCTACCCTTATTGCCATATTTCTCCAGGTGCTGTTTCAAAAAGGGGTCAAACTCCGCTATCAGTTCAAGCAGTCCCAAATAATTCCCATTGTGCGCTGAGCCCAGTAGTTCATTGTCGCCTCGAAATGGCAGTCCTCTCGCTCCCAAAAATGTTATGACAGCGACCACACGTCTGAGGACTTCTTTCCAATAATGCTGTTCTGCTTCACACTGACGGGCAAGAGAAGCGTCCACTCTGCATGCATGTTTAGACCTGTGCAATAAATGCAACATGTTTTGTCTATGTTCTGCACTCTTTTCATGATCACTAATCCTCTCTGGATGTTTCCAATCACAGCATCTGCTAATAAATGCATGTCTTTGCGATGACAGGAGTTTACAGGCATAACAGTAAATTAAGCCAGTCGACGGCAAGTAAAGTAACCATTCCCTCGGCACAATTTGGTTGTTTTGAAGACGGCAATGAAGCAAATCGTTGGTGAGAGAGCGTGTCCAAGACCCAAGTCCGGACTCCCTCACCGATGCAGGATATTTGGACGCCCGGTTGTCCGTAATGGGCGGCCACAGTGCAGGATCTCCAGGGAGCATCGGCGTGCTCGTAGTCCCGACGGACGGCGGTGGTGAGACGGAAGGCCCATCGTCATTGTTATTTCCCTCAGTAGTCGTACTTGCAGTAGAAGCCGGGACCGCGACTGGGCTGTCGTCTGAAGTTAAAGAAACTGCTAGCGGCGTCTCGGTGTCCAAGCTATGCGGCGCCGCCTCTGCCGGCGGGGGAGAATTGCTAGCTTCCTCTTCCACAGAAGCTGCCTTGGTAATCGTTATGGCATTGAAGAATGTCCCTATTTTTGGTATATGCTTTAAATTCTCTGCATTTCTGACTTCTTTCTCCTTTTTTATTTTCCGTTTTGCGCTTCCACTCAGCCTCTCCATGTTAGCATCTTTTTAAAATGAAAACTTTGTTGAGTGCGGTTGGTGACGTCCCACCTCAATGCATGTTGTGATTGGCTTAACCTTTGACCCGCTTCGTACGGGCTGACCAATGAGGAGGGTCAGATGATCTTCACTTTTCCCCCCTCATTACAGTCTCACAGGCAGTGGATACAGCGCAATACCACCGGCGGGCAGGTTAATAAAGCAATAACCAGATATTTTGTTTATGCCCTCACTGCCCTCCATGGGCCCTTTAGAGGTTGTGGGCCACTGGGCAATTGCCCGGTTGCCCATATGGATAATCCGGCCTTGGCCACACACACTCCACAATATTCTACACTACATTGTACATTATCATCACCTTTGTAACCAAGTAAGTTCAGTTTATTCCCCCCCACAGTAGAATAGTACAATGCATTATGTTTCTTTGAGAGCTTCCCACTATGTCTGGGAATTATCTGATTGGTTCTCATGTTTGAATGGGCGACACTCCTCATCTGCCAATCAACACTGGTTGGGGGAATCGTCATTTTGAGTCTAACCACATTTTTATCGGTGCATCACTTCACAAAACTGAACACCTTCATTGTTGGCATTATACGCCAACAAGTTCAGACGAGACCCCACCATACTTTGACCTAGTCCAAAGACAACGAGTTAGCCAGACAGAGAAAAGTTGGGTAACATTTTACCAACCCCGAGAGAGCTTTAAACTGTATTAGATTTACTATTGTTATTTACCATTTAGTCATTTAGCAGACACTTCAGATGTAATTCAGATACATGTAATTTAAGAGCAGGGTCAGAGCATCTTGCGCAATGATGGCTACAGGTTAGACTGCGGACATTGGGGGTTGAACCCAGAACCTTTCGACTGGGAGTCAAACACCCTCACCACTACACTGTTCCATCCACACCCTCACCCCTACACTATCCTATCCACACCCTCACCACTACACTATCCTATTCACACCCTGACCCCTACACTATCCTATCCATAGACCTTCATTAGAAAAGTACATGTTCCTTGATGTAACTTTTCACTTGTTTTTGCTTTTGTTCAAAAGTTACTAAATGTCTATAGAATAAAAGCAATCCATCCATGCCTCCAAACACTAATTGCTTGCTCTTCGTGTCGACAACGTCACCATCGTGCCAAAGAGCCACCACTCTCTGGTGCCAACTCTGGTCAAGAGAGGCTGCCAGTGTGCAAAGTTCCACAGTATCTCCTGGTGTTTTGAATCCTCCTCTGGCCTCTCCACCCCTCCAGGTCCCAGTGGCACCAACATCATCATCGGCTCCATCGCCGGAGCCATCCTGCTGGGAGCCATCGTACTCGGGGGAACTGGCTGGGGCTTCAAGTAAGACCTCTGGCTGCCTGTCTCTTTAATAATATAATAACTCATAATAAGTAATAATACCTGGAATACCTCTCTGTTTCTGTCTGTTCACACTTAAGATTGTGAAGATTTTTTGAGAACGCATTTAGAGCAGTTATTCCCGAGACTAAGTTAATAGGTTGCCCCTTACAGGGTCCCTGGTTCACTGTTTCCATGAGTTTTAGTTGAGGCTTTACCAGCAGGGACTGGTTTTGAACTGACAATATGTTCTGTTCGAAGACAATAAATTGACAAGATGGAGTAGAATCATTATTCTTTCGATTGAACGATTGGGATAGCAATGCGTTCAAATAGCGGTGATGCTGGGAATTAAAGAATGCTTTGTTTCGTCAATTAATTTGACCCTGACATGAATGAATAGAATGTGTATTTATGCATTTATTGACAACAGTGAATGAGTACTTCTGTGATGACTTTGTCCTGCTCACTTGCTCACTCACATGGCATGGCTGTAGATCGTTTAAAAATTAAAAATGTGGTCACCCCTTCGGAATACTCACTTTGCGCTTGTGTTCCAGCAGCATTCAGAAAAGACACATGCCTACATCATGTTGTGTAGTGTAACATAATGTGATCTCATGTGTAATGCCATGTCAGGAAAACGTGTTCAGCTGTTTGCTACATCAACACCTCAAAGCCAGTCATGTCAGTCGAGGACAAAATGGCCGTCAATTCTAACTCTAACTCTTTTGTCCCGTTTGTCCTTCTTCCCGCCTCTCCCTGGGGAACCAGAAACATTCGCCGGGGAAGGTATGACTCGGCTCAACAAGAGTCGTTCTAAACAACTCACGTTGAAAACCCACACCTCACCCTACCCTTCTCACTCCCCCATCATGAATATACGATGAATTATACATCCAGCCATTTGGTGAATGTTTGTACCTAAAGTGTCTTACAATACTGTGAGTGCATACATAACGTGACCCCGGTGGGAATCAAACCCTTCACCCTGGAGCCATGCTCTCTACCAGTTGAGCTGGACAGGGTCCACCTCCTTCACATTGTCTCATTTACTGTTCCAATATGGAGTTTTACCACACATTCACAATCGGCATACTTACTTTTAGTTCCCCATGCAGATATTCTCCACCTATTTGTACGCAAGATTTTTTTTCATAGATGCATTGCTTTTAAATGCTGTTATCAAATGACCATGTTTTGAAATTATTGAAATAGAACCACATAGATTTATATTAGAGATTCACTTGTAGATGGAATTTAACTCAATGGTTGATTTTTGTGCTCCACCGAACCCCTTTATTAATAAATTAGTATTGATTGATAGGATATTACTTTATTGATAAAGTCACATTTTAAGTTTGTTATTTGTAATCATTTAATATAAGAATTAATAAAGAGGAGTAATGCTTTCAAGTGGTTTATTTTATTTTTTTATAATGTTTCATGATTTAGCAAGATGCCCGTTTCGAATGCCTGTTTTTAACCATTCTGAACTTTGTTAACCTTTCTACCTTTTTCCTCCTTTTCTTCTTCTCCTTTCAGATCTGGGGGAGGGTGATCTGTCCTCTCTACCTGTGATCCGTCTCTCTGAGGAATCTCGTCTTTCACTGACCTTAACCTCACCTTTTATACCTACCTTGGCCCTAACCCTTAACCTTCTGTTAACCCTTAACTGCTTACCTTAACTTAAACTTAACCTAAACTTTAACTTAACCTAACCTTTTACTTCACCTTAACCTAACCTTACCTTCATGTCCACCTAAATGTACCCTTACGTAACCATACGTAACATTAACTTTAACCTAACCTAACCTTAACTTTAACCTCACCTTAACACCTAACCCTTAAGTCTAACCTAAACTTTGACTTAACATTAACCTTTCCCTATCTTACCTTACCTCACATTACAATACTTCCTCCCACTTCTCCTATTTCTGACCTAGAATATCATTAACTTAGTCAGAATATCATGAGCTGTCCTAACTCTCTCTTTCTGGAAAAACCTAACTTTCTGTGCATGTGAAAGGTTAAACAACACATTCCGGTTATAAGCTGTATATCAGGGAAACGCCTTCTTTATTCAACTCACCATTGTCGGTATATTTTTATTAACTGCCTTTTCTATTCTTCAACTGGTGTGTTTTTACAGGAAATGCACATACTCCAGTTGAACATGTCTTACCACTGACTGCTTCAATACATTTAAAAACACACAAAATGTGTCTTCTTCCTGCTCTGCCAACTGTTATTAGCCTCCCTAAGCCTTTAAAAACACGCTAGGTGATCAGGATTTAGCTAGAAGCATTGGCTTGTCAAACTAGGTATGTATGTATTGGTGTATACTGTACACCAGTCAAATCTTTGTTATGTAACAAAGATTTGACTGGTGTACAGTACATTACAAACATTAATATCTGATGCATTAATGAATGTATACCTGTAAGGATTTAAAATTATGTTTTTTAGAAAATAGTTTTGTGTGTAGTTAAACACTGACCATTCATTTAGCTTGATTGAAAACTCTCTTAGCTAATGTGACAATTATTTTGGCAAGGTTGACTTTTGCACATACACCCAGAATGCCTTCCAGTGGGCAGTATATATTATCTATCCAAGCTGAGTATATGCATATACAATATATGCAGTACATGCATACATACATGTAACGCAAGCTTTAAATGCTGCGATGATTTAGAGATTAACACTAGATGTTTAATCTTTCTTATAGCTGATTAGTCTGCATTTACTAATTGTTTTCATTACACTTATTGAATAATTTCTCTATCCTATATACTAAAAGTCGCAAAATACACGCATCAAGCTTGTAGGATCAGGATCACTAAATAATCCGTATTGTAATAGTCAGTATTAGGATACTGGATAAAAGTTATGTATGTTCTGATGGCTGTGTACAGCTCTAACATTGCCATTGAAAAGGTGCTACAGAGTTGGAAAAACCACTTAACAGTCAAAACACAACTTTTTATTAATAATGGTGTCTTGGTTTTTGTAAAACCACTGGTACATCCTAAAAAAAACTACAACGGTAATGGTTATTAATAAGCCAGTGTCAAGCTAGTTTCACGGTCACATCTTTCCTGGTTAAAGCTTATGCTGATGCCACTGCCCCATAGGCTTGACCTGACTTAGCCAATATGGAATGGATGTTTCAGTTATTTTTCACTCTCGACTGTAATTTTTGGGAAAACTGGGAACTACTGGTAAAATAGCAATAACATAACCAACAGCTTACCAAATGTACTCAAATAACTTCACCTCGTCTTTGTTTTTATATAGGCTAACACTAGCTTGCTCATACAACACTAAGGGCACTTAAGTGATTTATTAGAAATAGCTTAGAATCTATTGTAAAATATGCTAAAATGTTGCCTGTTTATGAAGAGATAGACCTATCGATAATATACCACTATCGTGCAGATTTTCCAAAGCAGAAAAGATGGACGAATGAACTAAATATAAATTTAACATAAAAGTGACCTATTAACCCAATCTCACCAAAAATGGTGCACCTTTTCTATAACCACTATGACTATCTTCCTTAGATAGGCAACTCAAATTGGTGAACTCAATGTACAAAGTGTTACAACTGATTACAAAATAAGCATGATAGCATTCCCAATTTTTTTGTCTAAATGTTAATACATGGATTTATGTAATGAGCTCTAATGTTACATAGAGAGCAAAGACCAGACATAAATGTATTTATGGTTGTACATGTACATTTGTTTATTTAATACAATTTACACATTGTGTGAAAAATGAAATGAACAATGAGGCCTAGGTGTAGGCCTATTGTCTGTCAGACTGTTATTGATGTGAATCTGAAATTACACCACAAATCACTGAGCTTAATAAGTATGTAGGCTACAGAAGTAACAGAATAATAAAATGCAAATAAAATCAAAATTCGCTCTCCCTAGTCCTATTTGTGTGTGTATATATATATATATATATATATATATATATATATATATATATATATATATATATATATATATTTATTTATTTATTTATTTATTTATATTTAAAGCTGTTATACCTGGAAAATTGTGAATATAATAGTATTTGTAATTTTTTTACATTATTATTTTGTTACTATTTTGAATTTGGTGGCTGAGGATATGCCTATGTGGCTTATCATACGTTGCTTTAGTAAGCCTCAAAAGCGCCCCCATCCCCCAGAAAGGATGTGCTGAACAAAAGTTACAGTTTCTGTTCCTTCTTTAACATCTGTAAACGTATGCGGGAAGCGTATATGCCTACTTGTAGCCTATGCTATATAACTCTGGGTCCGAGTCGCAGTTATCCCATAAATATCCTATAGATCTAAATCAAACTCTTTCCATTTAGGAAATGAAATCCATCTCTGATAACTTACAACCACACACACACACACACACACACACACACACACATTGTTTTTAGCTCAAATATAACAAGGACGTGAGCGCCAGTCGTTCACTTAACCAAAGCTAACGTCCCAACTCAAAAGCTAGAGACAAACGGTGTCTGTTTACCGAGGAGGAGGAGGAG